CTTGACCCATCCGCCTTCACGAATTTAACCGGAGAATCCACCAGCTCTTTTCGACGAAGTAATAAGTCAGACGTTTTCTTTTTCTTTCATTTTCTCTTCGGCTCGACGACCTCCGTTCTAAGTTTAATATCTTAATCTCTTGTAGTAAGCTACCACTTATCCGATTGTAGCATCATATGCGTTAATTATACGAGTACATTACCATGATTTAAAATAAATTAAGAGAATATTAAATAATTGTATATTTCGTTCGAAAGTGTTCCAATTTTAGCTACAGTTTAATGAAACATTTTCCGCGAAGGACTTTACATAATAAAAAAAACGTACTTTATCTGACAATGAATCTAGTACTATAAGAAAAAAACAATTGTACCTACTTACATCTTGCATAAGTTTTGCAACGAGTAAGACAGTCTTTCAACTCATATTATATCATTCGTGTGTGTCATTTTTACAGTATTAAGTATATTGTCTACGTTGCTAGGCGCGCGGGGAGTTGTTTTGTTATTTTGTTATGTGTAGACGTTGCCGATTGTAAATAAACTTCCCGCGCGCTTAGCAACGCTGTCGATCACGGGCCGGCCGCATCTCATTGCGCGCTTGTATTAGGCGGTAGGCCGGACTAATACAGCTATTTTTAATAATTAATAATTCTTTAACTATCGCAAAAATTGCAAAATGCTACATGACTTTTCTTCTCCATTTGATCCAATCTTTATCATAATTTTTGGTTTGGTCATAAACGAATCTGACACCCTGTATACATTAACGGAAACTAACTTGGTTAACAAGTGTTTTCATATATTATAATTATCTCATTAAGATGTGAAGGCAATTATATGTGATAAATCCATGTTAGTATGTATATTAATGTGCAACGTATGATGTTTAAACTGAGAAAAAATTGTGCTAATTTAATATGTGCGTCGATAAAAGTAAAATATATATTGTGGGAATAAGGAAAATATAAGACAAATGTTTAGAATAAGGACAGATTAAGTTGTATGTAAATAAAATACTAATATCTGGCTTCGCCAATAACCACATTTGCATTACTATTATATGTATTATACATATTTATATAAATTCAACAAAAATAAAAAGTAAATAGACAAATTGAAATATATAGGTGTTATTCACGAAACCGGATAGTAGTTTTATTTCAAATAATATGTATAAAAGTTTTTTATTTAGACTCTTTTACAGAAAAATAATTATTATTAATTGTAATATAACATCTACATTACATAACATATAACAATAATATTATTTTTACAATATCACTAAGTTTGATATTTTAATCTATTACAGTTAAGCTGTCTCTCTTTCTTGTATATTAATATACATATAATAATTGTATAAATATTTCTTACTTATTAATATTTAACATAGAACGTGTATTTAAACAAAAGAGGTTGTAGAACAAAAAATTTATTATTTCTCGTTGACATTACTTATAAGCATGACGCAAAGATAGCAATCACAGTTAAAAAAATTGCATAAATGATAGACTAGCAAATCTTAACACGGGGAAATCTACATGTAGATTTCCTTGAAATGTATAAGTGTATATTACGTCTCTTTTCTCTGTAACTTAAAATTTTTATTGACGTAATTTATTGACGTAACGTTTTCGGTTGTGATTTGTTAAAAATCACTGTTACACACACACACACATATACATATATATATATGTGTGTGTGTGTGTGTGTGTGTATGATTTATTATAGTTTCACGGTATTCGTTTACTTTTCCTTTAAGTATGTTGAACCGTGTGCCAACGAGTAATGAGATAAATATGAATGCATTTCCTTATAATGTTAATATTATTCGTATCTTAGGATATCCTTGAAAGCAAGAAATTGAAATATGATTTCCCAATCTCATGGCATGCTCACATTATAACTTTTTCTTTTACTATTTTCTTTTTCCGTGATAGATTTGCTAGTCCTAAACATTTATGCAATTATTTTAACTGTGAATTGCAATCTTCCATGACATTGGGAAATGCGTATTCCTTTTTTCCGTTATAGAACGAATGCTAGTAAATTAAATATCAGTTTTAAATTTACAGTAATTGACTTTTAAGATACTAATAATATAAAAAAATGAAGGAAATACTTTCGTACTTTTATGCAATAAGTTATAATATAAGTTAAAAGTACGTTCTATGTTACTTTTTCTTAACTGTATAATATTTAAATCTTTTTACCAAACTTTACTTATTTGATAAATTTTTTATTTTTCTGTTACGTGTATTTACTGCTTTCGTAGCATAATTGTTATATCGCGTACGAGAATATATTTTAACTGTCATTAAAAATTTTAACGCTTGCATGCGGTGATTGTAACACTTATCATTTGTGTCAAACCATCCAGTATGTATTTTATTCGTTGCATGCATACCTTCATTTGTAATCTTCTCAAGAACCTGTGTGGATGCCCAATGATGTTGCCACGTTCTATTGAAACTTATCAACTGCGTTTTGATAACATTTGTAAAGAGGTTCGTTGGTCGAACTAATTTCGTTACGGTTGGAGCATCTTCATCTGCGTTGGGATATTCACGATATTCGATGTATCTTTCACTTGGTGTTGCGTCCTCCATTGGCGTTTTCAACATAGTTGCACGACAGTCTTCACAATTATTTTTTTCAATACATCGTCGTGCGATATATCCTGCAAAATACGTTATTGCATTTTCATCATAATTACTGAGTATACGTTCATGTCCACATCATATTCCTCGAGGATATCCGCATGTTTGTCAAGTAATTCTGTAACTAGATCGGCATCATCTACGTCTTCCTCGACATCATCAACAACACTAACATTATTTGTACTCATACAATTTTCAACCGTCTTAGTAATTTGATTTGGTTTATTAATGAGAGCTTCACTTTCAGGACATTGCACATTCCCTTTATCGCTTGTCTGAATATAACCAGTGGATAATATATGTCTAATTGATAGTCGAACCATTCTTGCAGTTGGATTAGGATTAAATCCTCCACGTTGCCGAAGTTTTGAAAATAAATGTTCCACTGAATCCTGGTTGCATAATCCTGTTGCAAGTTCAAATTCTTCATTTTTACTTGCAAGTTCTTTATACAAAGCAAGAATAGCTTGTGTTGTAATGGCAAAACCTTTGAAACAAGGAACTTGATATATTTTGTTCGGATATTTGGACCATCCTGGACACCACTGCACGAACTTTGATAACAGATCCTCAATATCTGGATTTTTCCTTGATAATGGCCGTTTTCCGCCGAATGTGACTTTAAGACTGTAAGAGTTACAAGCATCAATTACGTTGTTCATATTCTCTGCAAAATCAGCTGTCGCTTCCCATGTATTTGAATTTAATGCTTTTTCGCTACCGGCTACTTTAATAGCAGCTGCGAATGTATGGCTAAATAATTGAAAAGCTCTTTTTACATTCATCGCTTCAAAACAATTCGGATGAATGTGTGCCTGTGAAATATGGGATAATAAATTCGAGCCTCCTTCTGTTGCATTATCAATGTCCCAGGTTTTTACAAAATCAGAATATGATGCAATTATTTCTCCTTTGCAATATATATTGTCATGCGTTCTGAGAAAACTCGCTAATCTTTTAACTAGATGCGGAAAATCATGTGAAGCATAATACTTTTTATTATTATATATAAAATATGGTTTTTGCACTTCAACGCCTAGTTGACTGTAAGCGGCTTGATTATTTGTACCTTGATCACATGTTACAAATTTTACATTAGCACCCGTTTCATTCAATTTATCTAAACACATGTGGACTAAGTTAACTATTTCATGTGATCTCATACATTTGCCTGGGAGAAAATACGCCAATGGTTGTCGCCATGGATGACGTGCATTTAAACTATCAAGGCAAAAAACAAAAACACACTTACTTCTTTCTGATTGCTTGCCCAAGGGTCCTAGATCAACGAGTCCTTCTATTTCGTCTAATTTCGACGAATATTCTTCATAGTTTTTAATGGACATCTCATCCCATTTTAAAGCACACAATCTTTCTTCCTCAGGGATTTGTGTAATTTTTTCTTTTAATTTTTGAAATATAATATCACAAAATCCTGGTTTTATGTTATATTCTTCTACCCATCTTCTAATTGTTCTCTGTCCAGGAAAATTGCAACCTGCTTTCCTTAAACGGCAAAATGCTGATGCTGAATAATAATATAATTGTTTGGAAAGCATTTTCTCTTCCTCAGTATATCGAGAACGTGGTTTATGCAATTGTAAATGTATCATGGTTTTTGCTACAGGATGCAGTTCTCGTTCATTTATTAATTTTTTTAGCAACTCTTCTTTTTTGCTTTTCTGCTTTTTTATCTCTGCTTTTGAATCACTTTTCTTTTTATTATTTCTTTGAATGCTATCATCTTTGTATTTAATATTTTTTTCAGGCCTATTTTTACATTTACATGTTTGTGTCATCCTTTATATTCGAGATTTTAAGTTCTTTATTTTTTGTTGCAAATTAAAATTCTTAATTTTCAAGGCTTTTATCTCTGCTTTTGGATCATTTTTCTTTTTATTATTTCTTTGAATGCTATCATCTTTGTATTTAATATTTTTTTCAGGCCTATTACATTTAATATCTTGATGTTTAGGTGGCTCCAAATGCACCCATTCCATTATGTCTTCCTCTTCCGCAGACATTTCGAAATTTAAAGTTGCAGGCCTGTACGTTCGCTGAGCACACTTTTCAACCATTTGTTCCTCCATTATTACATTTTCATCGTTAGGTGGAAGTGCTGTAATATTGTTTTGTATTTCACTTTCAACATTTTCTATGTGCATAGATGAGTCAGCAGTGTTTTCATATGCAATTGGTACAGCATTTCTGTTTAATCGTTCTTTCGTTGTGTTTGTAAATGACGTAGCAAGGAAATGATCTTCACACAATCCTAATTTTCTTACGGTATGGGCAGCTAATTTTTCCAAATTCGTATTTCCTGCAACCAAAATACGATAAATTATGAAAATTATATTAACACGTTCACTTGAAGCTGACATAGCAATCGAATGGTATACCGAATGTTTAGTATAATTCGCACTCACTGTTTACAAAGCGCTAATCATAATGAAAAATTGAATAAAACTGTTTACAGTGTGTGGATATTTTCAAACTTCGTAATTTTGTAATTACAATTGTTTAGCACCAGTCAATTACATATTTGTTTCCGTGAGCAAGAAGGACTCAGTTCGTTGCCCGAGAGAACTCCCGGAAAAAAAGCAAGACGTCGCGAATTAACTCGAGAACCGAGACTTATCTTTATTTTGGATTACAACGGCTGTACACTTTGAAATAAATGGATCGCTACCGACACAGACTCTCGCACGTGTGATCGCTCGAGGAAAAAAGGCGCCCGATTTCGGGGACCGCGCTATTTATTCCTTCCGAGAGGGAAGATTCCAGAAGCCCGAACAAAGAAAAACCCCCCCTTCTTATCAGTGACTTCGGGGATCGAACGGCTGATCGATCAGCTGTTTGTAAACTTCAGCGACCGTCGATGACCGTGTTATTGTCTCACGGTGCTCACCTCGTCTCGTGTATTGATTGATGCGAGTCGGACGATCGGCACGCGTCAGACCGCCGAGACAAAGGAGCACCGAGCGACCAAGGTTGCTTCTGTTGACGCCTTTCTTATGTCGATCTCGAGACTGTTTGAAGAAACGGTCGCGAGACCAACTTTTACCGAAACGGACAGGAATAGCCCGTGATATAATTCGCGCGTGCCTGCGCTTCGAGCGCGGAATCGCGCGAAGCAGCGGCAACTGGGACGCTCGGCCCTCGTCGAGCCTCCGCTCCTCCCTCAATCCCGAACATATTACTTTTATGACACGTAATCTGATAGAATCTTAATATTCTTAATACAAAAGTTTTATCTACAGGGGGCGATTGAAAAGTAACCGAACTTTTGCCGCCGCGCGGCTTCCAGGCGTCCAAAAAAAATTAGTGAAGGAGGAAAATGTGCGTCCGACCTTGCTCTTTCAGGCACGACCCGGGTCAATGCGCTGCGAGCAGCGGTTGAGTAAACATCGCCCTCCGCGCGAAGGTTGTTTTTGCAGTCGGTTACGTTTTTCGAGTGGTGAAAATGCAACGATTGACCAGCGTTACGCAATCAAGTTTTGCGTGAAACTAAAAAAGACTTTTACCCAGACCCAGGACCTGCTTAAGGAAGCCTTCGGAGATGATGTTCTGTCCCGGACACAAATTTATGAGTGGCACAAGGCGTTCAAGGACGGCCGGGAGGACGCCGAAGACGACGCGCAGGGAGGCCTTCGACGTCAAAAACTGACGAAAACGTCGACAGGGTTTGTGAATTCTTGA